TCCTACGCCTACTGTACGTCTATGAAAGAAAACGTACATTTCCAAAATCATTGGAGTTTTCAGACACATTGAACTTGTAGCTTTCTTTACCACAAATAGAATTAGTCCTAGCACAATAAATCTAAGGCCTACAACTCAAGGGAAAGAAAACGAGACACAATCTTCTACTTAAATACTCGTTCAGAATAAGTCCAATTGGGGGAGATTATTATTCTCATTAATTTATGTGAAATTAGTCAGGGGTCCGCCTAAGCAACACTCTGTCCGGGTCAGGACTGTGTTCTGATCTAAAGGGTTCATTTTCTCCCCGCTAACATGGGAGGGGAGAGGTTTTGCGCAGTGTCGTGTCTCTGTGTAGCAGGAATAACGATGGTGATGATGATGATGATGGGAGTGTTGGGGTGCAGGTGCACAGAGAGCTGGGGCGGTGACCTTGTCCATGGTGGGGACACAGAGAGGAGCCAGCCATCTGTCTTGGGCCATGAGGAGGTGAACTGGCATCATTGTTCAGTCTGACTGGGTGCGCTGGGGTCACTGGGAGGGCCAGAGCTCCCGGGTGGGGACCAGAATGGTGTGTCTGAGCTTTATCGACACTGACTATAAAGAGAATGAAGACGTAGACCAAAAATGTACAATATATGATGCCCTAAAATGTTCAAACAAGGTGTTATCTACTCTATTATTTTTGAGAGAATGCAGTATGAAATATAAGAACTGCTACATCACACAGAGAGTCAACCTCTGTGCCCTCTTTCTATTCACAATCCTCTTTTATACCAACGAAATAGCCCTGGCCACAATTACTTTGTCATTTTGATGCAGCAGCCTATAACCCTCCACCAATTTGTGAGTCCTTTTATTGAAACCACAAAGAGGAGAAGCCATTTGGACATAATTTGCTTCCTAACTCAGTTCAAATTGGACTTTTAATCTCCATCTTTTTGGAATACTTCACCAAAAACTATTTTTGTCATTTCTGTGTCAGTTCACCCCTGTTCTGTTCAAACCTGTTCTGTAGAGGAAAAATATTGATCCTCCTGCTGCAGCCTGGGTGCAGCCTGGTTTATATAAAAAATGATCGGAGACTTTTCTTTTAACAGCAGCAAAAAATATGGAAACCTCTGGAAATATAAGCCTCTCAAGCTCGCCTCTTAGTGAGAGCGGGGTGCACACAGTGCTTAAAGATAACAATCTCACATGTTGATGATCAGTGGTTGTGTTTACAAGGTTCACCATCTTGGTTGCGGTTATTATACGAGTGTTTGTGTTTTACCTGCTGGTGGCGCTGGGAAAAAAAAATCAGGCAATTACCAAAAGTCATTTGGGTTGATTTTGTGGGGACCATAAATGTCTGTAGAACATTTCAAAGCGGTCCATCCAGTAGTGGTTCACATGTGTCAGTCTGGAATAACCAATTAGCTGACATTGCCATCCATAAAGCCACACTGCTATCATAGCTGCAAATAATATAATAGACGATCTTAATGAAACACTTATAAAGTTTTTATAAAGTCATAGTTATGAGGTGAGTTCTTTTTATTTACTTTTACAACCACTTTAAATCTGCATGGATCATATATCAGAGCAGTTTACAGTCTAATCTGAGGAGCTATGAGGAATTCAGTCACAAGCACTCTCTCTTTAGCTCACACGGCTTTGGAGTAACTGCAAAGAATATCTATCTATCTATCTATCTATCTATCTATCTATCTAGATACACACACACACACACACAAAAAAACAAAAATAAACTTTTTCGGACATTTTTTACCGACCATTTTTTTCCAGTCTTCTTTGGTCTCCCGGGGAGGGCCCTGGACCAAATTGGGTTCTTGTAGCAGACAAAGAGCTTTTGATGAAGCAGTCGGTCTGACGGGGACATGGCAGGCTTGCAATCAAGGTGTTAAATGATAGCAGGGCCGTAATGTCTGTCCTTTCAGTTTAATCACAACCCCATAGCTCAAGTTTTACTTGGCAGTTTCAATCACCATCCCCGTTTCCTTTCACACGGGGCTTGACCCTCTCAGCTTGCCCCTCTTATATTCTTCACTCTAATGACAAGTTTCACTTCTCACCTCGTGCTCATTAGTCACCTTTGTAAGCAATAACGCCACTGCAGCACAGTCTATAAACTTGCAGGGATACGGCCACATAAATGAGTCGCTTTTTTTCCGTAATGCTGTCAAATAAAGCCGGCTCGGTCTGCGTGGCTATGTGACCATAGTGCAGCTGTTTCATGGCATTGAAGCATGATTTGTTAAAACAGAAAATGGAGTTGTTATTATGTGCTAATCACACCAACTTCAAAGGCTGAGCTTTCAACTTCCTGGACTTGAAATTCAAAGAAGAGTGTGCAAATGGCAAATCTGAGAGAGTTCAGAGGTCGTGGTGGAGCTGTGGTCTGTCGGCTGCTCAGCAGATAAAGAGTGACAGGGTAGCAACTCGCAAGCTCCTCATGAAAGTCACCATAAAGTAGTTTTACAGCTTTGCGTAGTAAAAGTGACCTCGTCGCATCTCTTTCCTCTGTCTGCAGTGTAATGACGTCGAGGGCTACAATAGCAACACACACACACACACACACACACCAGGACGAGATGAGGCCAGATGAGAGTGAGGCTGAGCAGCTCCGCCCGGCTCACTGCTGTCACTTCCTCTGTTTTATGGGAGAACTTTCTGATTCATTGGTGCTGTGACTCCATTTAAATCTGAGAATTCATTATTGAGTTTGCAGCGATGTGGCCTCTTGTTTGACCCACAGTACAGATTAAAACAACTTGCATCCTTTTCTCACACTCTAATTTTCAACATGTCACAATTCATTTATACCAAGCAAGTCGGCATGAGCTCCCCCCCCCCAAAAAATGAAGGGAGGTGATGAGGCCATATTACACAAACTGCCTCCTTTTGAATGTTCTCCAAAAACTCAGTATTAGGTCATCCCGAGCACCGTTTTTGTGAAAATGCGTTTTAAGTTTTTGGGCCATCTTGTTGTGAGCTATAGATACATTTTAAATTAGATTATTTAATAAGCTTGCAAGATTTTAAAAACGGCATTAAGGATTGGTTGGTTTTCCATTATTGTTCGCTGTGAGGATGGATTGTCAGCAGGTAGAATAAAAAGCAAAACATTTTCTATAATAGTATAAACTTTACTTTACTGTTGCCGTGTACCGCACGCTGACATTGTGGTTTAACTCGACTGGAATGTGTAGCCTTACAGGTGTTTGGAGCTGCATGGGTTTATTTAAGCTGATATGTCTCAGAAATGGTTCATTTCATGGTTGGCACAGTACACCATCCCTCTCTGCATTGAGCGAGGGTTAAGCCCGTGTAAATGCACAGGTTTCTTGAACAGCACATACCTCTGACATTCTCTGGCGGCTCTGGGTCCAGTATGTGTGAAATGGTGTGTAGCGAATCCCACTTCTTTTTCTTTTAGCATGGCTAGCACCCCCTTTGATTTCATAGGCTCCATTACTCTTCAATCTGGATCCCAAATGTACTTAAAGCGCTGCCAGCACATCAGAGAAAATTATGGTTTTGTTTTTTTTATGTTTGAATAGACGGTGCTTTTAGTATGATGTGCCACCTTTACCCAAGAAAAACATGTAAACCATTAGATTTTGCTTTAAATCAATTGTGGATTTCAAATGTAACTATGGTGACATTTAAAAGCTAAAGAGAGAAAAAACACCTCTGCTCAGTAGTTGTGTGGTCTTGATTGGACAGTTTTATGTCTCGGATGGAAATTTACGACTGCGTGACGTAGCACACTGCATGTAGTAGTATGAGCGCTGCACATAGTAAAGCACACTGTTGCTATCAAATTAAAGTGTCTGTGACCCTCGTGGCCAGCTCACAGACATCCATCCAAAAACACCCGGTGTCCCGTGACCGTAATCTTGACTCTTGACCGGGGTCACTGAACTTGACAGGATCCCGACCTTGCAGAAGATGGAGCACGGAAGACATCGGGTTCACGCTGACCCTGGCTTTTAGCTCAAGTGATTTTTATATGCACTTCCACCTGACACTGACGGATGATGAGCTCCTTTTCTCTTTTGAGAGGCGCACAAAACAACGAGCGTAAGACTGCCATCTATTCGACAGTCTTCCTTACTTGCTGGTTTTAATACATATAATTAGAATTGTCCGATAGAACCAAGCAAATCTTACATACCGAAATTGGCCACCTGCCCGACTCCCATTGTGGGTTCGGATAAAAATAACATTTTAAATGTGTTGATGCCAAACACTGGCAAACGGAGAGAGAGCACAATATGAAACAGATGCCACCACAGATGGAGGATAAACAGGCACATACATTTCTGTTACAAAGCAGAACTGTCACTAGCAGCAGTAAATGATAATTGTGTTGTGGAAAAGTAGGGATTCAGAGCCTGGTGTCTCGTGGGGTTTCATGGCATTCTGTACATCTGTCAAGGAAATCTTACCATGGCCTTTGATATCGTTCATTTGACACACTAAGAAAGAAATGATGTTTGCCTTTTGATTTGTTCTTGCTGAACCTTGAGCAGCTGTGGATACAACCTATCCAGTCCTCCAGCAGTGGTACCATGTAACTCTGCACCAGAGCATCCGACTGTTTTACTAGATGAAAGCATTATTTACCGGGCATGATCAGTTTAATGATACTTATTTTTGGAGAAAATCTGTGCTGCTCAAAATTGCATCGTTGTGTTGAAATGATCAGTTAATTCATGAAAGCTTAATCTAAAATATACATTTTTTTTTTTCCAATCAACACAGTTACGCATCCCCCCCTAAAGATCATTTAATGAGTTGGGTTTATGTGTGATACCTGTTGTCTTATTACTGTAAGTGAGAAACCCAGAGGAGACTTTAACATGTCCTCTAGTGTGATGATTATATGCAGGAAGTTTTGATTAACTGCCAGCAAGGATATATCGCAGTAACTGTCATCCTGCCGCTGTATTTATTATGCAGCGTTTTTATATTTTGGCCACTGTGTGTTTTAGGGGGAGGCGTGTGGAGTAGGTGAGACAAGGTCTGGAGCCGTCACCCACTGAGGGAGCCCAAGGGAGCCCAGGCAGTGATCTACACTCTGGCAGGACACCCGCAGTCTTCAGCACGGTGTGTTATGACATGTAATCACAGAAAGTCTTCTGCTGTTGCTCCTCTCTTTGTCTCTCTGTAGCACTACCCCCATCTCGCACCCTGCAACCCTATGGCTATATGCTTTATTTGAAGATTTTGGAGGCTTTGTTTTTTTGTTTAATGCTATGATTGAATTTGCATTTGTCCTTTGTATGGCAGTGCTTATATGTCTTACGGTATAGAAGATCCAGATGTGCATCTTTTCTTAAAACCCAGAGGCTGAGCATAATCAGAGTACTGGAGGGATTAGAACAGCTGGTTACCCTGAATACCTTTCTCTACCAAACCCCTATCACTGGATTTAAACATCTGAATAAGGTAGTTGTTCATTGTATGTGCAATATATGTCCATCTTTCACTTGATTGTTTTGTCTTAATTCAATTATATGATGTGCAATCCCTTTCATAAGGTTTTGTGAGGAAGGTTAATACTATTTTGTTGTTTCATTTTAGTCACCGGTCAAGAAGTACAAATATCTTCCAAGTGCAGCTAAATTAAAATGCTAGCGTAATGCCAGAGCCGAGAATGTTCTGTGGCTAACAGAAAACGAAGCTACAGTACGTCATGATATCCAGTTATCTCCAGCTATAAATACAGCGTAGGCACAATAATATAGTGTTGTGTCCTGGTTGTTTGGGAGGTATACTGACTCGTAAAGCAGACAGCTGGCTCACAATGCATTGCTTTTTACCAATGCTCCTATAGCCTATTCTATTACACTTGTCATATGTAAAAAATGTGGTTACCTTTGGAGTGACTTATCTGTGAATATGTTCTGCTTTTAATACCAGTGGAGTCCTGGTGCTTCATGAGGGGGAAAAGGCTTCAGTATGTTGGTCTGCGTCCGTCTGTAGCTGACTGCTGTAGGTGCGATGTGTCTGACTGTCATCTCCTCTTCACAGGTCACTCATCAACCTGAAGCCTTCTCCTCTGATCTGCTGACTCACTCTGCACACAGCGAACCATTCCAGTCCAGGAGGGAGGAACACCAGCGAGAGGTAAACAGTGTAGCTGAGAGGCTTGCAGATGACGGGTTCGGCAGTACAGAAGCTGAGCAGTTTTTTTTTAAGCAAAGGGCAAGCACTCAGGGGTTACAAACACCCACGCTCAAATATTTTAGTGTGCAGACAAATATTTTAGTGTGGGAGTTTGTAACTGTACCACACAGAGACGGAGAGAGGGAGGGAAAGCGCAAGAGAATATTCTCTATTTTCCATGCCCTGGGCGTTAGACATACCAGGAGCGACAGAAATCTCGCCAAGTGGGATAAGATCATAAAACTGCAAGGCACTCTCCTCTCATTTTCAACTAAATGGATAAAATGGTGTCAGCATGTTACTGCGAGCCCCTCCGGATCCGAATTGCTGGCAGGATTATAAACTGAAGCAGTTACTCCATGACAAGACACGGAGTCCTTTCCCATCAAGGAAGATTTCATTTGAAATGGATTAGCAGCAAACAAATATCACAAAATAAAGTAGGGCTGAAAAATTATATTATTTAAATACTCATGACCGGATTCCTCAATATCAATATGTATCGAGACATTATTTCAGAAGATCAAAATCATTATTATTATGATTAAGATCACAACTATAAGGCAACCTCAAACAAAAAGCAGAGCTACAGTATGTCATGATATCCATATACAGTGTAGGCACAACAACATAGTGTTGTGTCCTGGTTGTTTGGGAGGTATACTGACCAGTGAAGCAGACAGCTGGCTCACAATGCATTGATTTTGACCAATGCTCCTATAGTCTATTCTATTACACTTGGTTATTTGGTAAATACTGTTACAGCCGGTTGTTTACAGAGCTGTTGATAGAAAATCCCCGTCACATTGAAAAGGAGTGCTGTTTTTAATTCCCTTTCCTCAATTTTGCGGATCCTGTTCATTTTTATTTCAATTACTTCCGCCCCATCTCTCTTCTTTACGGGTAGAAATTTTAGTGTCGGTTTTCTAAGTCATTAGGCTTTGTGTTAACCTCTGGGACCAAACGGGCCAGATGTCACTTCATGGTCTGGGCACAGATGAGGAAGGGAACAAGTGAAAGAAAGGAGGAACGAGTGATAATGATAAACTGGTTAAAGGACATCTAAAGGTGTTAGATTCTGTGGGATCGGCTGGAGAGGTGTCAGTTAGCAATCTAGGGAGCGTACACAGTTTGGTGAGAAAAGACTGATACCATCGTAACTGGAATTGGTTTCCTCTCAAATGCGAGACAATTTAAGATACAAAGTTGTTGTGTGTTATCCCTTTACTCAAACGCATACAGATATCTGCACCATAAAGAGGACATCCTTGATTGTCAAAGCAAAGGTGATTTTATTTTATATACCACATTTTCCTGCTGCGTCCTTCATGATAAAACACATGCGCTGGTTCCCAAAATCCCCCTAAAACCTTCCATCAAGGGACCTGTTAAGAATGGTTATTCCCTCAAGGCAGCAAGCAGAGTGTCCTCACTCTTCTTGTCTGCTTTTCTGTCGTTTTGGTTTTGACAGTGCTGTGGTGTGCTTATAGCTGAAGGCAAGTTTAAACTCCATGTGCCGGCTCTCCATGAGGCCATACAATTATCTGGAGCTTGATAGCTGAGCCCGACTCTGACACATTCTGTGTCACCGTATTGAGTACGAGTGCAGGGTGCGAATGGAAGCTATCTCTGGAAAACCTCCCCTGAAGGCACAGTGCAACAGCAGCAGAGAGATCAGCCGCTGGCGTAAGCTGTCAAGTTAGCATGAATTGCGGAAAATAGGCCTACTCTTGGACTCATTATCAACTTCAGCTAAATCAGTTTACTGTTTAGCTGAGCTGGAGGTGAGCTGTCTGCTTTATGAAATGAAATACTGTCTATCGTGGTATTTGCTTGTGTGCTTTTTCAGAAGGATAACAGCGGTGGAATTGTTATTCAGTCCTGCACCATCTGTGCTTTGAGAAAAGGGTTTGAATGAGGCTCACGTGATTGAGTGGCACCTGCTTGTCAGAGGGGTTGCTGCAGAATATTGCTGCATTCAGAGAAGGCAGTACTCCACCTGCATGCCAATCAGGCTAATCCCCTCCACCTACATGCGCACACACACACACACACACACACACACACGCACACACGTGTGCTTTCTCTCCCTCACTCTCTTCTCCAGTGATTTTGTTGCTGCATCGTATCCCCTGTAGGTATGGGCACACATGCCCATCACAACATGCATTCATGCATTGACAATGCTTGCAAACGGGCACTAATTAAATTTTCTCTGTGTGTACTTTGTACTCAGTGTGGCAGATATCGGTATGTTTTGTCAGAGGGATTGTCTTACCTAAACATGGAGGTAAACTGACACCGACGCTATTTAATGTCTGCTCGCTCTGGCATGGCCGCCAGCATTGATTTACCCACTCTCACTCTTGTTGGATGTCTTGTCGAGCAGGATTTATTTTTTCTGTTATTTAAAGTTGCTGGCATCCATAAAACCACTATCAATGAAAAAGGACAGGAGGGAAAATGAGGAGTGTTCTGTCTGCTGTTTGTAAAGCTATTGATTTACACAAGAGGAGATGTGTAAGGGACCTCTACCCAAGTGTGTGTGTGTGTGTGTGTGTGTGTGTGTGTGTGTGTGTGTGTGTGAGAGAGAGATCATACAAGCTTGCTTGGATCTGCATGAAAGTGTGAATGCGAAATAGCGTGAAAAAGGGGGGGGGGGGGGGTTATGAACAACTGTGTCAGCAACAGGAGCTCAGCTATGCACACACAAAGCATAAGCCCATTCTCCTGAGCATCTTCTCTGATCTCTATTTTCTCTGTCATGTCAGTACAGTAACAGGTGTCTCACCTAAGGCAAAAACACTGAATCACTGTCTTCCCCGTTATCACTCTGGATTTATCTTTTGTTGCAGCTCCTTGGGATAAAGTGGGAACATTGTCGGGGATTTGGTACCCAGGCTGTGTCTTTGTTGCAGTCTTCCACTGTGCGCTATAGTTTCATTGGGATTAACCACATGTTGCTGTTTGGACACATTCCCAGCAATGCACTCATGCTGGGCTGGCTGGATGAACAGAAGGTCAGAACATGCCACAACATTGTGTAATGCTGGTGACGGCACCAAGGTGGTGCCAGGCACTGGAGAACAGATCAGGCACCAGTATCAGCCCAGTATCTGATTTAGGTGACTCACCTGTGTGTGTGCGTGCGTGTGTGTGCGTGTGTGTGTGTTTCAGTGATTTTGATTGGATTTTATTCATCAAGGTATCACACAGTGAGCCTGCACTGTGTAAATCTTTATTGCAGATTTGATCTGTACTATCATCGACCATGGCTAATGGTAGCTGTGAGATTTCACAATGACTGCAAATTCCATGGTGAAATGTGACATTAACATGAAAATGAGATGATAAGGAAATACGAGTCTGGGAGTATTTTTGAGGAAAATTGTGACAGAAATGAATCTTTTCCTTCCTCTGTTTACATTGCGCGCCGTATGAGTCATCGTGTTATGTGTCTCTGCTCGTCCTTTCCTTTTAAACCTTCTCCCCTCCTCCACAGCCCTCCCACATTCCCTCTCTCTGAAGCAGGTAGCCTGGCTGAAGAACAATAGAGCTGCTCTCCCTTCTTGATTAAACACTGTAAGATTAATTCACATGTCAGTGCGCTTTGACAGTAGTAGGACGTGTCTTTCACAGGAAGCTGACATCATTATCTTTCTGGCTCCTGGAGCCTAGCGCTCATGTACTCGAAATGTAATTTAAGATTACTTTAACAGTTTTTGTGAAAAAGAATATCCTCATAAACCATGCAACACTAGTCTGTACCTTTATGAAATACCTCTCTCTCTATATATATATATATATATATATATATATATATATATAATCTATCTATCTATCTATCTCTATCTCTCTCTATCTATCTCTATCTCTATCTCTATATATATAATCTATCTCTATCTATCTCTATCTCTATCTCTATCTCTATCTCTATCTCTATCTATATATATATATATAATCTATCTATCTATCTATCTATCTCTATCTCTATCTCTATCTATATATATATCTATAAGAAAGAAAGCGTAGCTCTGCCCAAGATCAGTTAACAGTGGAGGACGTTAATGATGCGGTCAAAGCCCTTTCAGAACTGGGTAGACGGGGACATAATGAGCCATGAATGCACAACTCGCTGTTAAGTCCACGTGTGAATACATCTAAGACAGCATATGGCTCCTTAAATCTGCCATTTGATATTTTGCAATCTTACATGTATGGTTTCTCAGAAACAGTCGATGAACTAAAGTAAGTGTAGATGATCAGCAGCTGAATTCAGCATTTCTAGCATTCAGTGCAATGTTAAATGACTGATGTTAAGCTGGACTTTTTATGTCACGTTTTTTTTTTTTTTTTTTTTACATTTTCTGGCAAGTTATAGACACGATATCGATTTATAAAAAAGAGATTCAGCCTTAGCTGACTTGCATTCACTTTATAGAAAAATACCAAGAATCCCGTTGTTTCAGATGCTTATTTTTATACCATGGAATGTTATCTTAAAAAATGTACCCAGTGGATCGGTCCAATAATAAGCCATGTTTCTGCTAATGTAGGGATTTGAAGGGAATAAAAAAACGCACAAAGAAACCATTAAATCCAGACCTGGCAAAATGTAGGCGTGCTATCTATAGCTTCTGTTGTAGGTGCATTGTTGCGTCCTGATTGCCTTCAGTCGGACAAACAGGATGCTTCGAGGGCATTAGACTAATAATAACCCGAGCATGGTGAAGGCAAACACCACCTGGCAAATGTCACAGCCAAGTCAAGTGACTTGGGGGAGGGCCATGTTTACATTGAATCAGCCGTAATTGTGGCTGATTGAAGTATTACACACTTAATAGTATACGCATTCATCGGCTCCATTCTTTGCAAACTGAAGCATTACTTCGGAGAGGCACTTAAGCAAGGCAGCATATTATAAAAAATTTTTCTTAAT